AAAAAAGTTAACCATATTTAAAGACCAGTAGGAACGAGCCAGGAGAGGTTACAGCAGAGGCAGATTCCTAAGTTGGGGCAGGAGTCCCAGTACCCGTGAAGACAGACCTGACTACAGAAGGCCTGAGACATGCCTTCCTTCATAAGAGAAGAAAGCTTGGGTGCACATGTAGGTGCATCTGTGTAGGGGTGTCCATTGAGAGGTAGGAGAAGCTTGGTCTACTAGGAGAAACAAATTGACCAGATGGGAGCTCCCAAGGAAGAACAGATAACATGTTAAAGAGCTCCCTAAGGACTGACCAGATGTTTGGTCTACCATAGGGGTCTCCAAGGACTTACCAATCAGAAAGAGGTAGAAAAAAACACAAAGTGAGGTATGGTTAGTCCTTGATAGTCTTTGGAGCACGTGCATAGTGAGGTAACAACTATGTCCCAAAATGAACTACCCTTGTTAACACAGTAAGAATCACACCCACGAGTTTATAAATACCATGGCAACTACCAGAAATTGACTTACAGGAATAGAAAAGGATAGAGTTCCCAATTCCAGGAATTCTCCACCCCTTTCCAAGAAAAACCATGAATATTCAACCCCCCCATTTAACATAAAGTTAGAGAATCAGCATAAAGGGAGAAATCTTTGTTAAACTCAGGGTCTTCTTCACTCATGGGGGCTGATCCATTCCTTCTCTGGAATGTGCTATGCTTTAATAACACTTTGGCTGCTTGCACCTGCTTGCTCTCCTCGTTTACTGTTGACCATCCTTCAGTACTGGTAACCATGAACCTGGCAACACGGGGACCTGACACCTGGTTCCCACACCTAACAGTAAGAGCAGGAATTTCCTTCATTAGCTAAGGCTGGAGAGATGTTGAAGGTGTAAAGTTAAACACTGTTTCCATGAGCTGACAACTGAAATTCTCCCAGCAGCACCAGCAGTTAAGGGAGACCATGAAATCATTATGGTCCTAATCTGTGCAGTTCGAGCTTTTTACATGTTTGAGCTCAGCAGCCAGAGTTGAAGATTAGGCAGACAACTGGGTTGATCTAGGTGTAATAACCCTCAACAAGTAGGTTGAGGGTTATTGATGAAGGGGTTAAGGTGACTGAAGATCAAAGATGGAGAAGGGGGGAAAAGACCAGAAGTCTGACTAGAGATGGAAGTAAAGAGGGTCGACAGAAAAACAGAGGTCAAGGGGCGGCAGTCTTCAGGGTCAATAAGGAGTGAATGGGCAAGCCAGAGAGCGGGAAGCACGGAAGGCTGTGGGCAGAGAGGGTGCTAAACGTACCTTACAGAGGCAGAGAAACTGTGCTTCCTGACAGGGTATGTGGCATGCTTGTGAGAAGGAACGGTGAAGGTGACTGGAGGTCAGGAAACTATGAACCTACGTTCGGGTGGGTTGTCCACACAGACACTGAAGCCACTCAGTATGAAGCCTTGAGTAGAATAATGTGAGCCAGGTGTTGAACCAAAACCATAATTTCTTTCTTTAAAATCAATTAAGAATTGAGGCACAAAAGCTGAACCTGCATCATAGAGCAGTCATTTGTAGCAATTGTTCTCCATGAAGTCATAGCAGCCTCAATTACAGCTTTCACAGCTATAATGGAAATAAAGGGGACACTTGTGGTGGTTGAGTTATTAGTGGTATCTGGCAGGTGGTTAGATAGGTAGTAAAGTGGGGTGGGGAGAGAGAGAAGAGGTGCCCCGCAGAAAACTATCAGGCCTTTCCCACAGGTGACTAGGAAGCTGGTGGGGGGTGAGGTATGAGGACTATATTATACCAGCCAGGAGACGGCCATCAGCCCCATTTGCCACCAGCACTATGACGTTGACTTGTTGCTTCTTCAAATCTGTCTCTGGAAGGGAAAGAGAGAGGTAGAGTAGAAAGACACATTGCCTAAAGGTGAGGGAAAGAACAGACTAGAATCCAGACGGCAAAACCCCATTAATAATGTTTATGCTGGTCGCCAGTTTATTTCATTTTGAGACTGGGGTCTTGTTAGGTTGCCCAGGATGGTCTTGAACTGGGCTCAAGTGATCCTTCTGCCTGTGTTTCCCAAGTAGCTGGGACTGTAAGCCCCCTTCAGTTTATTTTTTTGAGACAGAGCTTCAAGCTGTTGCCCTGGGTAGAGTGCCAGGGCATCCCAGCTCACAGCAACCTCCAACTCCTGGGCTTAAGTAATTCTCTTGCCTCAGCCTCCCAAGTAGCTGGGACTACAGGTGCCTGCTACAACGCCTGGTGTTTTTTTGGTTGTAGTTGTCATTGTTGTTTGGCCTGGGCTGGATTCGAACCCACCAGCTTTGGTGTATGTGGCTGGCACCTTAGCCAGTTGAGCTACAGGCGCCAAGCCTATCCTCCTTCAGTTTTAAGTAGAATTTCATTTTTTTTTTTTTGAGACAGTTTCACTTTGTCACACCTCAGGAGAGTGCTGTGTCATCATAGCTCACAGCAACCTCAAACTCCTGGTCTCAAGCAATCCTCTAGCCTCAGCCTCCTGAGTAGCTGGGACTATAGGCAACTCGTCACAATGCCTGGCTATTCTTTTTAGAGATGAGGGTTTCCCTCTTGCTCAGGCTGATCTTGAACTCTTAAGCTCAGGCAATCCACCCACCTGGGCCTCCCAGGGTCTTCGGATTACAGGTGTGAACCACCACACTCAGCCTAGATAGAATTCCATTTTTTCTTTCATTTTTTGGAGAAAGCCTCACTCTGTTGCCCAGGCTAGAGTGCTGTAGTATCATGGCTCACAGCAACCTCAAATTCCTAGGCTCAAGTGATCCCCTGCTTCAGCCTCCTGAGTAGGTGTGCACTACTACACTCAGCTAATGTTTCCTATTTTTAGTAGAGATGGGGTTTGGCTTTTACTCAGGCTGGTCTCAAAATTCCCAAGCTCAAGGGATTCTCCTGCCTCAGCCTCCCAGAGTGTTAGGATTGTAGGTGTGAACTATAGTGTTCAACCTAGAGTTCCATTTTTTAACTTGTTTTTCTTAACTTCTTTTCTCTGTCACCTGGGCTAGAGTGCAGTGGCATCAGCATAGCTTCTGGACTCAAGAGATTCTATAGCATCAGCCTCTCAGGTATCTAAAGTAGCAAGGACAACAGGCACCTGCCACCAGGCCCAGCTAATTTTTCCAATTATTGTGAAGACAGGGTATCGTTCTTGCTCAGGCTGGTCTCATTCTCCTAGCCTCAAGTGATCATCTCACCTCAGCCTCTCAGAGTGCTAGGCATGACCCACAGTTCCTGGAGTTCCATTTAAAAACTCCATCTTGTCTTAGATTACCAATGGAGTAAAAGGAGAAAGGATTTTTTTTAAAAGCACACCAAGTAGAGTATGTGAGTAAATGCCGTGTAGCTCTGAGACTGGGATCATTTATGTATGGTACATGTACTAAGCTTACCTCTAGTGATAGAAAGGTTTTGTCTAATTTGGGAGGAATTGCCAAGTTTTGAATCTAGATGACCAGAACAGGGAAGTAAATACTGGGATATCATAATTTCTTAAAATAGAAAGTATTTACATTTTACACTATACACACATTAGTCAAGTATCCTTTTTGGTCTTATTGCAAAGTTTAAGAATGGTGACATAAATGTTATTTTTGGACCCACCAAACTAGTTTCTCAGTTTGCAACTGGGTTCAAATTCCACCTCCCATCACTTACTGCAGGGCCTGGTACACATTAATCACTCATGTAGCTATTAGTGACAAACATTTGTGAAATGATTGTCACACTGAAAAAAGAGTAATTAACAAGATTATTTCTTGTTTTCTCTCCCATTCTTCACTGTCCACTTCCTGAGACTACAAAAAAGTGCTCCAGAATCAGATGGCAGCAATTGTCGCTATTGCTAAATTCCCATGAATGCTTTGAGGCAGCAGTGAGGCTTTTTTTTTTTGAGACACAGTCTCAAGCTATTGCCTTGGGTAGAGTGTGGGGGCGCCATAGCTCACAACAACCTCCAATTCTCGGGCTCAAGCCATCTTCTTGCCTCAGTTATTCTGCTATCCACCCACCCGCCTTAGCCTCCCAGAGTGCTGGGATTACAGGTATGCTGAGCTACTGCGCCCCACCAGTGAGGCGTTCTTATTTTAGGTTGTGTTGCTTCTATAAATAAAGTTAAAACTCAATAATTAGAACCTTTGTTTCAAAATGGTGTCTCACATTCAACCTTTAGACAAAAAAGACCCATGACAAAAAGATAAAAGGATAACATATATTTATTTTTAAAAAATCCCAATGTTAGCAAACAGTTCTGTTTCTTGTCCCTTCTATGGCTATGTCCAGTTACAATGGTTGTTTAGAACAACACACTTGAGGTACATGAAATGCCTCAAACGCCAAGAAATACTAACTTATCTCTGGCATAGCGTTGAAGTTTTTTCTATGATGGTTACTACAGAGTGTTTGCTGGTTAATTTTTAGTTACCTAGGACCATACACGCACGAGTATTCCAGTTAACTGAGGTTTATATCCAGAAGGACATGATACCAGTGACAGGAAAGTTTTCCTTTGTTCCCCAGCAGTTTCAAGAGACCTCAGCTACCATCACACCTCACTTCCTTCTTGAAAATGTAAATTGAAGCATTACTTTAGATGAACATTTTTTATGTCCTAATTACTATTTAGAAAAAATTCTTTTCTTAAGCTGATAACTTACAAGAAGTTTTAATTTTAATCATCTTCCACGCCTATCTGATATACCTTAAAATTTAATTAAATTTTTTATAACAATCACTTTCAAGGGAAAAAAATGAATGTTATTTCACTTACATCAAAAACTCTGCTTTGTAAGAAAGTATATAAATGTCCTTTTTGCCAGATATGCGTCCTACACTTCCTATCCCCTCCTAGTACAGCGGGACAGCGACATTAATGAGGTACAAATATCGAACACATACTTTACTTCTTGGATAGAAATGTGTACATGGTAGAAAACATTCTTCTCAGCACGAGTGACCCTGTTAAGAATCTTTATGACTTCAGAGCAGTTGTTAGAAACATTCTCATTTTATTCAGTTTCTTGCTGTGCAGCATTAGCACAACGCTGAGGGGAGGGCTGTGTCGTGTCACCACCATCACCATCTGGGTTTCTAGACTCAGAGGCAGCATCCCCCACACAGACAGAGAGGAACAGTGGTGCAGTTTATTGATAATGAATCCAACCTTAGACCATACCTCTACATTCTTTATGTCACATTATTGTGAATTTAAACAAACTCCATTTATAATTTTAAAACTGTACTAGGTAACACAATACTGCACTATTACAAAATACCCTCTCTGTAAATGCATTGAAAGTTTTCTTGGGCATTTTATTAGGCTTATTTTTCGCATTATTCCAAATGCGGACCATCTAATATGTCAAATCCCCTAAATATAAAGTCAATTTTCTTAATTTTCTGAAATTAGTTATTTAAGTTAATAGGAATTCTATAAGAATGCTGACTCATCTCATCTCAAAGCCTATTTGCCCATCTCATCTAACCTTCAAAATAATTAAAACAAAAACAATCTGAAACCAGCTATATATGTAACAAGAATCTTTCAGTTCCAAAACTATTAAAAGTCCAGAATCAGGTGATCTAATGAAATTATACAAGATGAAGTTGAACCAGCTGCACTTTTTAAAAACAATTAAACCCAGTTTTCTTTTCCCCAAAGGTTATAAGAAAATGGAAAATCTGCCTTTAAATCAGGTAGAGATTTAAACCAATATTTTTCTATTTCTTCTAAGAAACTAAAATGTTTCTTATAATTATAAATATTCATAACACTCAAACTACTTTTTTTTGGGTAGACAGTTATTTATGCTTTTGACGCTAGACTGCATGGTACTATCTCGTCAAGATGTATTATAATGCTCAATTACGTGTAAAATATTATTTCCGGTATTTGTCCATCTTCTATTGAAGTGCCATTATTATTGCCAGGGGAACTAAAAAAGAAAAAAACAGTCTTGCTTGCCGCAGGGGTCTCATGCACTACTTTCTTCAATCCTTTTGTGCCATAGTGGGAATCTGGGCCCTAAATGAGAACACAAGTTTCCTTAATAACTTTCACTTAATAAGCACTCAATTTAATGTGGCATTTTAATTAATGTTTTATTATATTTCACTATAGCTCCTGCATAAAATTTTATGCTATGTCTTAGTGAAAAATGAAGTTTTTATTAAAAAACAAATTTTTTTTTTTTTTT